GTTGAGCTAAATCATCGAGAAGTCCTCAGTTTCGGTCCTTAACAACCTCCTTACATTCTCGGTGGACCGGGCCCCGTTCTTTGATCACTCAAAAGCTTCTCGAAGACTGTTAATATTTCAGCTGTGTTGATTTTCTGACAAACTCCACCAAACCAAATTTGCTTTTGATTGTAACTGATGGTACATTTTTTTTTATTAGAAAAGCCAAACCAGGAGGAGCTATATTCCAAATTTCTTTCCAACTAATGTCCCCCTTCAACACTTCTTCCGACGACGACCAGCCTACAAGAATAAGTGAATGTATGTATGGATGATGTATGTATGTATGTAGGTAGGTATGTATGTATGTATGTAAGTATTTGTATGTTTGTATGTGTATGTACGCATGTATATGTGTATGTATGTGCGTACGATACAAACACGATCAGCACCTCAAACAAAATATATACACACATACAGACACACACACACACACACACACGAAAGCACATACATACGTACAATCAAAAAAACAAACACAAAAACACTAACACACACATATACACGCACACACAATTTTTTAATAATTTATTTTTATCACAACCGTTCTTCAAACTGAGACGTTAAAGCAGATGACAACAATGGGCTGACCGACACATACAACTACTGTGTGTCAACTGCACTGCATAAATTATGTTAATTTATTCTATAATTACAGAGTCTATTATTCATGTATGTGTACGTGTATGTGTATGTTTTTGTGCATTTTGTGTTTGTGAATTAATCATGTATTAAAAATTTATTGCTTTAATTAATGGACAATATTTATGTGTTTATGTGTTTCCGTGTATGTTTGTGCCTTTATGAATGTGTGTGTATATATATATACGTGTGTGTGAGTTTTGGAGTGTATCAATTCTATCAATTATGCATCAAAAATCAATTGCTTGTATGTGAGATTTCTCGTATGTGTATGTATGTGTGTGTGTGTGTATCGACAGGTGTGATTGTATGTATGTGTTTTTAAAATGTATGTATGTATGTATATATGTATGTATGTATGTATGTATGTATGTATGTATGTATGTATGTATGTATGTATGTATTTATGTATATATGTATGTATGTATGTACGTATGTATGAGTGTGCGTGTGTGCGTGTGTTCGTATGAATATATAATTAGCTTTTATAAGCAGATTGGATATTTTTTTATGGACGCGCAATTAGAAAGCTAGCTGGTGTGGTCTATTCTATTGTGCGAATGTACGTACGTACGTGTGTTTTGTATGTATGTGTGTTTGTTTGTGTGTGCGTGTATGACGTTGTATAGT